TGATCTGATCTGATCAAAATTTTAACACTTAAAGATCGACGATCAGGTGTTGCGTTCTTTTTGGGAGACGGTGTATTTCTTTAAAAATATACCTGCCACCCTTTTTTAAACTTTTCACGCCATTATATTTATTGCACTCTTTATTAACTATATGTCATCTTGTTGATATTTAGAGTCTTCATATTTTTTGCTTTTACTATCTTCACTCACATTTTTCATGAATATTTTAGGTTAACTTGTTAATTTTATGTTGGGTTTTTTATTTTTAGGTTCGTGTAGTCTATCACTGCGTGCGGCCTTGGGTTGAAATTTTAATTTCATACATAGTTCACGTAAACAATTTATTTGCAACTACTATACGAGACAAAAAACGATGAAGGAAACTATTGAAATGCGTGTGTACTATCTACACGTATGAAAAATGAATTTAAAAAAGCTCTTTCGTATAAATACCACTAGTACGTCATGGCAGTACACAGCCATGCTCAAATAATTCACATGACATGTTGTGGGAGAATGCGGCCGTATTCATCCATACGTTATGGGAGTATTTGGTCATGCTCACATTGCTTGTGTATTGTGGGGAGACAGTGTTAAAACACTGTAACTAATCGATTTGAGAATTCCTTGTTTTCTGTGAAAAGCAGGCAGCAGAAGAATGGTATCGTAGTAAGTATAAAGTAGGTGCTACCATTAAGACAGGAAACAACATTATGGTATAATAAAAGCACAATAATTGGCTTCAAAAAATTTCATTTGTCATAACTTTATACGCCCAACACTAAATGAGTTATCACCTAAGTCAATCAATCCACCCTTTCTAGATCTCGTGTCTGCGTATCTGTCAGTTTTATATTACCTAATAATTATTACGGCGAGTTAGAAACTGTAAGGAACGCGTGTCTGCACTATATTCGTATTCGCGATATTCCGAGATATTGACGGAAATTGGATGACGCATCATCATCGTTATTTACTTGCATTTAATGTGGCTTACCATTTTTTTTATTGAAGAGGGACCATTAAATAAACTTGTTTTGTTATTGTGCAAATTTACACATTTTTTATTAACCACGTATGTCACACGGGTAAATTAAATCTAGAATAGTTTATTTATTTAGTTAAGAAATCTATAGATAAACAAATAAATATATTCTGATCAAATATTGTATACGGTCGGGTAAATTTCATTATTTTTTTGAAACGTAAGCATTTCGTCTATTCTCATTTTTCTCATTCACAGGCATCTAAGATCGTAAGATTGCATATTTAGCCACCTGTTCCATCCAATATTCAGCAATGATGCAACGCATTAATAAAGACAGAAAAAGAAATACGTATGCAGCGACCGATCATAACGGGTAAGTATCACATCACAGTGCAGTATTACGTAATTTATCAATTAAATTCGTAATAAAAATTTTTTGTCATCTAATTACGTATTCTTTGTAATCCCCACAAGAGCTCTTTATAAATGGATGGTTTTACTAAACGATCCAATACTTCATGGAATAAAGCATTTGCTTTATTAGATGGTTCTAAATACCCCGAAATATGTCAACAAGAAGAATATATTCAACAACAATTTAAAAACGATTCATCATTAACGGATTTAGAAAAGAAAGGTCTATATAATCGTCTTTATCGTTATTTTGATTTAAGCAGAATAGAAAGCTCCAGTGAAAAACGGCAATGCGATAAATGTCATGACTGGTGTTATGCAACACAATATTGTGAAATATGTATTCAGAGGTATTTAGAAAATAATTTTAGAAATTGGTCTTCTGGAAATAATATGATAGATAAATTAATTCAAGAATGCCAAATGAAGACTGTTTTTTATACCAACATTATTGAATGGATAGAATATGAAAAATTTATAAATGTTACATATATGACGGAAGGTGGATGTTCTACAATTTTTACAGCAATCTGGAAGGATGGTTCTTATTGTAAATGGAACAAAGAGACACAAATACCGGAAAGAGTTCCACAAGCACAAGTAGTCCTAAAAAAATTATGCAATTCAGCCAATAATAGTGAAGAATGGTTTCAAGAAGTAAGTTAATATCAATTATAAATTAATTTTTCGCTATATAATAACATAATATTTAAATAATAATTATTTAGGTTAAATCCCAATTTATTCTTGATAATACGGCACAGTACCTTTCTCATTGTTATGGATTAACCAGGGATAATGATTATATGCTTGTTTTAAGGTTTTATAATAGTGATTTAAGGCATTATTTGATGGAGAATCATTTATCGATGTCCTGGGATAAAAAATGTGACATAATTTGGCGTTTGGCATCTAATCTGGCTAGCGTTCATCGGAAAAATGCAGTACACAGAGACTTGCACTCTGGTAATATTTTATATGATTCACATAACGAAAGTTTTTTTTATCAGTGACATGGGTTTTTGTGGGCCTGTAGACAAACCACCGAGCATAATTTACGGAAACCTCCCATATATTGCACCAGAAGTCTTATGTGGCAAACTACATAATCAAAAGTCAGACATTTACAGTCTAGGAATTTTGATGTGGGAAGTTGCAGTTGGCGAAGCACCATTTAGTTACATGGAATACAATAACAATTTGGCCTTAGACATTGTTAATGGTATACGTCCAAAGATTTATGAAAATGCTCCGTTAGAGTATGTTCTAATAATGCAACAATGCTGGGATGCTGATCCAGAAAACAGACCTGATCAATAACAGTATCACAAAAGTGTAGTAAAATGTACAAAGAGTTATATAAAGAAAATCTGCAGCAGAAACATATTAAGCATAAATCTTATAAAGTAAAAGCTACCGATTTCTTTATGAAAAAAATATTAAAGAAGAATGAGAAAGAAATCGTCATGATTCCCAGATCTAAGATATTTACCAACCAGATCAGTAAGCAATACACACTTTCGAACAAGCTTAGGCCAAGAAATGCGACTTTAGGTTAGTATTGATTATCTTAAAGTTAAAATTTAAAAAAAAAAAAAAAAAAAATTTTTTCACTATTATTTACCAATTCAAATATCATAGAGGAACAACTAGGTATGCTTTTTGTAAAACATAATCTTTATTTTAAAAAGCAATTTATTATTATAATATTAATATTTAATAATTTTTAGAATTTGATTCCCAATATGAATTAACTATTTCTAAAGGTAAAATTATTTATTGTATAAATCATTATTGACATATAATGCTCGTTGATATTAATCCATTTATTATTATAGCACTTGAAAATCTTTGCTTGGGTGATGGTGCTCGAGAAAAACATGAAAATTGCGCATTAAGTAAGGGCAGTACTAAAGGTAATGATATTTCAAATATACTTAATACATAAGGTGGAACAATAAACGTTTATTTGTGTGTAAATATGATGATATTTTAATTGCACAGTCATAAAATACGGCTCTTCGAGTTCAGGAAGCAATAATCATTCAAAACCTTAAACCTTTCAGGGTATTTATTGTCCATATTTATTATATTACGTATATATTGTATTTATTAGTATAATTTTAAAATTTTTTAACATGATTCCGACATCATATTATGAAGGACATTGTTAGCGGATATTAAATAAAGTTTTATAATTATAACTAGAAAATGTAAATGTCAAAAACAAGAACAATATATGTCATACGAAACATTTTTATATTAGAAAAAGTGAGCAAATATGGATTTTGTAAACAGCATATCAACATGTGTCAATATAGGAAAGTTTTCCACAGTTTATGTCGGTTAACGTGTTTCCATTATATAAAATTATACTAATAAATATATGAAATCGGTTATTCCTGTAATTAAGCCTAGAATTTATTCAAAAAATTATATTAGAAGCAAATAAATGCTAATATTAAAAATATTAAAATCTAAAATAATCGCACTACAAGTAATTATTTTACTCAGAAACTTTTGAATTAGCGCCTTACGTATCACAAATTTCTGTTGTACGTATTGACTGTCCATTGCCTAAAGGAAAAAAATGCGTGTTATAAAGCGAATGTATAAATAGTTATCATCTGAACTCGTGCGTTTTGATGGATAAATAAATTATCACGAGTTAGGTAAAAAAAAAATATTTTTTTTGACCGTAAGCGAATAAAACAATTTGTTATATACAAATTGCGATTTATTATACTATTAACTTGTTTTCTAATAAGAATGTTTGCAATCTCGATATTGCAGTGTTACATATAGGATGATAAATTAATTATATCCCGGTATTTTCTATTGAAATTAGCATTATTTATTTCTTTATTTGTTCATTTTCTTTTGAGGGCAAGTTGTCCAAGTTTATTTTATTACTGTATAAATTAATGCGTTTTAATTACGTAATCGATAATGTTCAAATTACAATATTGACTAGGGTAAATTAATCAATTTAGTTACTGTATATTTTTGTTATTTATCAAGAAATCAGTAGAAAATATACAGTATACAGCATATTGACCATTAATTATATATTTATAAATCAATTATTTTCAAATTTTACTATAACATTCTGAATAACAAATAGTCTTCAAAATTTATTTTCCAATAAAATCGATCTTTGTAAATAATGAATGCGTACCATAAAATATTTTGTTTTTGGTTGACGAATTAAGTAAGTTACGCGCCAAAAAGCTAAACAATATACGTATTACTAACGAAACAAACAACTTTTTCGTATTTTTACCAATTAAATACATTCTACTCTCTGTTTGATACGCAAAATGATAGTAAAAAAGCATGTAAAATAGTAAATTTGGTAGACTCAGTCAATTAATTATGTAAAGAGGGAAAGAGCACCTATATAAGCACTTAGAGTCCGCCGAATTCGGAGATTAAGCTTCTAACGTTTCAGGATGAATAAAGAATAGGTCAAACTCACCCAAACATATAACCTTTTACCTTATACACATTTTATCTTGGATTTTTTGTGTGATCGATACGCGCGGTTAAGCGAACTGCACAATTCAGCGAGACTCGCCGATTGCTCCCCGATAATAACTAATACAGGATTTTATAAATAATTATGCATCATTTTCAAATTATATTATCGCAATGTCATTTTAACTTGCTCCGATTATTTGCATAAAAAGTACGTACTAATGATTTCTCATTGCTAATCGTATAATTTTGTCACGTAAGTTTCTAATGTGATGCGATCGGTACACAAGTAATTTTGACAGGGTTTTGCAATTTTCTGTCTCTTTATAAAATATTGATCAATCAATATATGATTGAAAATCAGATTAATAATTTTATTTATTTTTATTTTATACATGAATAAATAAGACTATCGACCAAATTAATTTACTATTTATGTTAATACATCGTAAGTAAATTGTCTAATGATGTATTGTACGATAGCAGAGATTTTTTATTAAAAATAAATAATATAGGGTGTTCTCCTTGCGTCACTCAATCTTCACCCCACGAAACTTGTGCGTTACCTGTGCAGCACAATTTTCGAATGAACTTTTTGTAATATATTAATTTATATTGTTTAAATAATTTTCGGATCTTATTTCTGGCATATAGACCATAAACCGGAAATCGAAGTTCGATTTAGCATTTAAATAAAAGGAAATGAAACATAGTAATAAATAAAATTTAAAGTTAAAAAAATAAACATTGTGATTATAAAATAAAATAAAAACTAAAATAAAGTATATGATAAAAGAAATAAAATTAATGTTAAAGAAACAAAGCACAAAGCATATACTAAAAGATACAAAGTGTAAGGCAAAGAAACAAAGCATACATTGAAAGAAATATAGTGTATAATAAAAGAAATAAAAGTATATAATAAAAAACAAAGATATAGAACATGTAATTAAAAAAAAAAACAAAGAAATAAAATATATAATTAAAAAAAAAAACAAATAAATAAAAAAAACAAACAAATAAAATAGATCTATAAATTAAAATTTAATAAATTTAAAAGTTTTTATATAATTAAGTTTTGTTTAAAAGTCAGCTAAGCCGAACTACTTTTTTTTTAACCCTCAGTCAGGTCAACATAAATTGTATTTATTATATAAATATATAGTATCCATAAATTATTTAACTTTCACATGCTAACTTAACTCATTGTCAAAAAACTATTTTTCTAGATACAACTTGAAAAATAATATTTCACTCCTTTGCTAATTTGGAATACTTTTTAATTAGTAAAATCATTACTTATAGGTTATTATTGAGATGATTCTAAGTTCTGCCTATAATTAAAAACCAAATAATTTCATTCAAATAAACTCAATCCATAATAATTTTTATATAATTCTTTTTCTCATTTTTTTCTACTTTTTGACCTGGGTTTTGAATTGAGTAAAGTAGGTTCTTTGTGATTATATATAATTTATTCATTAGACTTGAGACCAGATCTTTTAATTCTTTTTTTTTTTCTAATAATATTTAGTATATTTTTCATTCTATTAATTTGATATATTGGCTATTTCAGTTTTTCTCTTTAAAATTCTTTTACATTTTCTGGCAAAGCTTACAATTATAGTTTAAATAAATATTGAAAAAATTTTGAGTTGTTTTTAAAGTAGCTTTTCAAAAAAATAATTTTGTTTTTTCTATATATTCACAAATAGTATTAAAGATATTTTTATTAAATTGTTAAATTTTATTTAACTAGTTTTTTGTTCAATTATTAGTTATAAATAGAGTTTTTTTCTTGTTTTTATTTTTTTGTTAATATAGTTAGTAAGCTTGCTAAGCTGATTTAACAAAAATATATATATATATATATATTTTCAATATTATACTTTTTTTAATAAAATTTAATAGACTTATAGATCAATAGTGCAGTGGTTAGCACTCCATAGGTCGTATCACAAGATTCTGGTTCAAGTCCTCCAAATGGCAAAATTATAAAAAAAAATTTATGTCGATCCTTGTTGAAAACAAGAATCCACCAGCATAACCTGTTAATCTGATGTCACTCATAGTTGATCATCACCCTGATCAGACAGGTCTATGAGTAGCGGATACCCACTCCTACATCATAAACCTGATGTGGTTTGAGTTCACAACTGGAATAAATCTGATTTGTGCCCGTTGAGTTTGTAGATCCTTAACTGATCAAGAAATAGATTTCGAGCTTAAAGAATTGGAAAATTCTGAAAAATAAGAGTAAATTCTTTACCGATAGGATGTATAAAAATATAAGGTACAAGTGTCATACCCATCTATCAAGAAACCTTGGTGGGAAAAATAATTCGTGTACCACACCGAAGTACCTAAAATCTCTGGTACAGGTTAAAGTATATACAACAGTTTGATAGCTAAATTACTTCATAAAAATGTTTTAGGAAAAATAAAGATAGTATCGTATGTCCTATCCATATGCAAAAATATAAAATGATCCTGCATACAATATGTAAAATAGTCTACTTGTTTACTGTAAATAGATAGATACATAGTTACATTAATATGTAATCAAAAATGTATACAAGACAAAATTAATATTGTCTTGAAGATAACAATAGTTAATAAAAAGGACATAGCCCTAAACATTCTTGATATCTTCACTAAACACACTGACGGAGCCTAGGCATGTTAGTCCCTCTAACCAGGTACAACAAGCCGCAAGGGGTCGAAAAATCGAGCCCCATCAATATTGGCGGTGGGTGCCCACTACCAATTGATTTTATTGTTTTGCTTAACATTGAAAATAGTTTACACAATCACTCTGTAAATAAATATAATGTATTGCATAA